TAAAACATTGATTTTATGAATAGTTCGAATGAAAAAATCTGCGTAAAATACATTTTCTTGTTTAGTCAAATTAGCCAAAGTTTATTTAATGATAAATACTAGATCATTATTATCATTTGCACTTAGGTACTTCACGCTTATGATAATTTAGATCGTGAATTAACTTAAATTAATCATTGACATGATTAAAAAATATACACTAAGTGAAAATGAATGTCAACAAAACTCAGAATATTTTGATTACAATTTATTGGCAGTAATCCGTTGATTTTTTGTGGCATAGGAACTGAATCCAGTTTGATCGTTTCTGATTGCTAATGAGATATACATATCACTAATCCTCGTATAAAATTATCGCGTTAGTGGATAACGGAACTAAACAAGTCACATATGAGAATGAATTTCGAATATATATATTTTGTACACTGATTGATCTGGACAGATAATCAAAGGAACGAAGCGAAAAGAGAAGACAGTGAAGCAAAATGATTCGCGGTGGTGAAGGCATGTAAGCCAACTCCATTTAATCAAGAGTTAGTCAATATTTATAGTCACACAAAAATAAGCTACAGATATGTGATTAATAGAGTAAGATGTACACAAGCATACGCCCATATAAAAGCAGTAAGGGTTGATAAGTGAATAATTAACAAGGTCAAAACGTGACTCCAGAAGAATGGATAAATTGGTCTGTCCAGAAGCTAGAACAAGCTATATGGGCTTAACATACTAACGACACTACAGACTAAACCCGAGTTAGTTAATGCTGACGTATAAACTTGTTGATAAACAATTGATGGTAGTTTGAAAATACAACCTCTCTAATTTGTTGTGTTTCAAAGCGATGCTTAACAGACAGTAGTTTGTATACTACTGATTATAAAACTACAGAGTTTCTAAGGCAGTGTGCTATAGTAAATCTGGACCGTTACTAGTGATGAAAAGCACGACATGAGTTTTTTTCCTATTTGGGTCTGATTAACTGGAGGTATCTGAATCTTAAAGTTGAGACATCTTTTTACTAAAATATGCACAATCGTATATTGTAAAGAATTTACTGACGATCATAAAGTTTTGTCAAAGTTCAGTTACTATTGATGAAATTTAATCAGTATACGTTATAACGTTCACGTCGATAAGGTGCAAAGCCGTTATAAAAACATTACTAGTAATAAACTCCACTAATCATAAAAAACACTAATTCCCTCAACTTGTTTACTTTCAGATTTCATTGAAAGTAAAAACAATTTTTCAGTTAAGTTATCTATGTCATCAGTGTCCTATCCAATCTAAAATGTGATAATCCTAAGCTGACAGGAACTCTGAAGATATTTTGAAATACACTGTTCATGTATAATGATAAATAAAAGAAATCAATCTCACTATGTTGAGATAGGATAGTGAGTGAAGATCGTCGACGGGAAACCTTGGATCTAGGTTTCGTGCTACTTGGCACTCGTCAGTAAAGTGTAACTGTCATCTTATGGGAATTGATGCTCCCTGACAGACTCGATCCCGTATCACCCAGTATCACAATCGGAGACTTGAACACTGAGTTATCCGGACTACGACTGACGTCCTGTAGCACTGGGATGTATTTACAATTGATTGATCAGTGGGTCGGACCTGACACACATGACATTGATCTTCTTTCCTTCAAACAAATGAAAATTTGGAAGCAAACTAAATTTATTTGAGTTACGCGTATTTTGTAAATTCATCGTTTTGTAGTGATAGAGAAGTTATCATACTCTAGAATTGCAGTATGCAGGAGTAAAGCTTCTGTGTGTGAAAGCATGTCATGCTACTGACTAGTTTGTAGACAGAAACGGATTTCGGTAGTAAGCTGACACACGACTGGCAACGAATTAATTATTGCAATATCCCATTCCTCAACGGACACTCCGGTCACACAGGAATAAAACGCGGAAATCAAAAGACATCAAGACTTAGCCTGACATTTGATGGATTATTATTTCGAAAAGATAATTTCACTTCAATACAAATATACAAATTAGGCGATTTTCACCGGTGTACAGTAGTGATATGATATGGTATGTGAAATGTAAAAAAGACAGTTGCAAAAACGATTGATTTCGGAAGCCAACTATTCCTCATGCTGTTCTGTACGGTGAGCGTCCAACGTAATTGCCGCTGAAATCAGGTAAGGAAAATGAGACGTTAGTAAGTTCATTAAGACGATGAGACAAAGTTCATCAGTGATTTTCTCATGTTCATTTATTATTATCATTGAAGTTGGAACATCGACACGTATCCACACTCGTTACAATGGAAATCAACCATTGTTGATGATATTCATGAAACTACTTGTGGATATCAGTAGTCAGATTACACGTAGAAATTTGAAAGGAGATATTCATCATGTCAAAGACTGTGTAATACTAGTAATGAAAAATCCATTCTGATATTCATACGAATTCAAGTGATTGTAAAATATGGAGAAATTCATGTTCAAAGGAGTTGGTTTAGATCACAATGGTACATTGTTGATGATCACTGATTCATCGTCGATTCCGTTAATATTCGGTTACATGGCAAACGTAACTAAAACAGATGAAATGTGATTTACGTTGAATTAAACATTCAACAGTGATCTATATTGATCGTCACAAAAGTAGGCATTTGTTGTCACGGAGTTAAAAATGCCAGGGAATAATTTTCAGAATAGCAAGTGTTTATTTAGGTAGTAACAAGAGTTTGAGCTGATGAATAGAAAATAGAACGTATCAGTAATATTACTAAACAACAGCCGAATTGAACTCCACTACAAACAACATCCGATCATGAAGAAAGTATGCAGAACGGAGTCATAATGGAAGAGCATGTCACAAATCATTTAAGTAAATGAAAATGATCTTATTAATGACTTACCCAGGACCATAGTTACACACGATGCTGAGTCCGTATGGGAAATTCGGACAGTTCGTGACACCACATCCAACATCCGTAGTGTCTTCCCAGACAAGCTGAAATGAACCAAGTGACAGTGAGCTATTGAATAGGGTATTGGAAGAGGACACATTCAGATAAATCGTTCAGTCAAATCAACAACAATCTAAGATCACAACGATGTGGAAGACGTGATTCGTTGGGGAGAGTGTAGACCAATCTAACACAGACAAGAAGCGTGCTAACGAGGACTGGAACATTTCCAATTTGTGTGTATGTGACAACGGATAGTTGGATACTACATGTAGCCATGTTAGACGGTTTCATGAATCGACCACAATATCACTAGTCAGTGTCTATACGACTTTGTCTGAAGTAGTTATTTTAACAAGAATGCTTTGTAATCGTTCTAATGCTTACCTGAGTATAATGACCACACTGACCCATACGACATGTTCTCGTGTAGAAGTCGTAATTCTTGTATTCATCCAACCATAATTGAAATCCGCTTGATAGAAATGAACAAACAATAGCAATCAATCGAAACATGAATCCGAACATTTGGAAAAATGAACAGTCAATCACAAGAGTATTATCACATGTATAATTGAGGAGGAGAAGAAGGATCTCACTGCACAGGTGTAGGTGTGAACGTCGATGAATATCACGAAGAAACCACACACTGATTGACTGTGGTGATGCTCATCGACTGTGAATATCTGATTAAGTAATATATGGTAAATGAGATATTTGACTATTAACAGTTTCCCGATTGCACACAGATGTGGGTGCATCTTCGACAAGCATGTGAACATGTGGATGCGAGATGCAGCCTATCTCAACACACTAACCACATCATTGCAGTGTTTAGTTGAAGTGAATTTTCGATGAGTTGAACTGAGTGACATCGGTCTGTGGTTACACTCGTTACAATCAGTTCAAGACTCCGATGCAACCACTTGTTGAGTTTCACACTAATCACTTCTGTTCATCTCACAATCGTCCTCAATATTTCCTCACTCATCTATCATTGACAAACAGACCTTCCGAACCACATCGTCGAGTGTGGAGTGACAGGCGTCATGGTTCACAAATGTGTGTTCCTAAAATTTTGTGGTATTTGGAGTGACGTTTCGTAGTTGGTTTGCATCGAGTATGCGTTCACAGATTGGTTAAAAAGCAACAGTCTGAAAAGAAGTAGGTGTGCATGTGATGACGGTGTATGTCGATTAGATCGATATAGCACTTCCGCGAATGCAGACCACATGCTTGAAAGTCTACGAGTTGAACAAATTCATATATTTAACACAATGCACATGACACTTACGTGTTTATGTCTTTGGCACCGGCCCAATTCTGTCCAACATATTGGAATGCCGGTATTTTACGATCATCATTTGTATCATGTCCAACACGACATTGATCAGACAGAATTTGTGCTTTCGTTTCCAATTCCACATTCCATTTCTGTAAACATGTGGTTAATTAGTGAGCAAATCAAACGGTTAATTGATCAATTAATAATGTAATTATTGCTTATTTTCTTCAAATCGATGAGGCGAATGAAGTGGTATCGAATGTCACTCGTTGTCATCAGTGCCGTCACGTCGACGTGATATAATTAGGAGATTTTTAGTTTTTCCACTAGTTAGTCAGAAACTGCGAAAAATTCTTCATCTCTGATGAATTCACGCGAACCATGTGAACGAAGTTCGTTCGCCTATACGCACCATTCTCACCAACATACACATCACTAACCACACTCACTCAAAACAAACAAATGCACAGTTGAGGACACTGTCTACAATCACACAATGATTTCAACCAGTGAGCTATCTACTCTACAACACATTACACCAATAACCTCATTTGAGTGGCCAAGAAACTGCTACCTGCAGTCAGCCACAATCAACCAATCAACCGAACAACTTCTCCCTCCCTCCTTCTCTCTCTCTCTCTCTCTCGCTCGCTCGCTCGCATCATCACACCATGTTCACAGTGAGACCAGCTGAAACGTACACTGAAATCAATTTGTCTCAATCAAAACATAATTGCGCTGAACACTCAAGTTAAACAATCATTCTTCTTACCAGTGGTTTTATGGAGACTGCTATCGGTTGCCCAACAAGCTGACCATTTTGAACAGATTGTCTTGCCTTATTGTGAAGAGCTAACAACTCATTCCTCATCGCATCATCCAACTGCGCATGAACACAGCAACAGACAAGTGAACACATCAACAACACGACTGATGAAAACTCGGAATTAGAAGACATTTCGATGAGACCAGAATTTCACTGTCTGTCTGACTTACGAACAATCACTTGTTGGCTTTTACATATATATACACACCATGAGATCAGGTTAATCAACATAAGTCATGGTGATTAAACCAACCACTCATAAGTGTCAATTTGTCTTATGAATGTGGGATTATATTTGTGCAGAATAATAATCAGTCGTGTAATCAGTTATGAATGAGTAGGGCTAAAGGGTGGTGTCTACACAAGACGATGGTATTGAGAAAATTGTGATTAAAGTTTACTCACAGCGTTTTTACACTGTGAGTGGAAATGACTATCGGTTTGTGGGATTATGATTCACGAGTGACTCATGCTTCTGGAACAAATACAACAATGTCTGATAATTCCACGAAATTGTAATCAGATTTTGTTATATTGTAATTAAGGCTGAATGACGTGTGAGACGAGCATTTGTGTGGAGTGACGTGTTCTGTCGTTTGTAGTCGATATCAAGTGATAACATGTGTAGTTTACGTTGATGACTGCTGGCTGACTCGTCTAGTTCGATGCATGGATCGTGATACGATTTGAGAGCCTCACCAACCACCTTTCTCTCAGTGACGTCGATCGAATGAGACGTGTTGAAGTGAATTGGTGTCCTCGTGAATGAATGGAGAGTGAAATCGATCAACACGATTGCATGTGAACATGAGATCGTCCCCATGCATATGGTGATTGAGAGAATGAGTTGTGATTCAACTTCCAATTTTTAGTGTTCGTTTCACATGTTATAAATTTCCGATGAGATGTGGCATCGGAATTCGATGATGATTTCCACTGAACATGTGTTGATTGCAGTACGTGTTGCAGATATTGCTTTCAGACAATTTGATTGTTAATGTATTGCAAACTGATATGGAAGTGATTTTCTTTATCATTGAGCCATCTCGTGTAATCGATAATTCACTTTGTATTTTATAATTGTGACAGTCTCCTGGTTTACTACTTACAATGGAGAAAAGATGAGCAACTCTTATTTTGGTGACTCGAAGTAAGGACACAAATACTTGTACAGTCGATTATCTCTTCACCATAAAACATGCTAGACGACCGTTGTCTAATATGCACTCCTTGATATATATAACGATTTTCACACAAATTTTATTTTGAGTTGGAAAAATTTCATATTGATGGAATTATAATAAAATCAAATGTTACATGATATGCTGAACATGGTTGTCTTTGATTTAGTTCGATGTATATCATGACTTGAATCAATATCACAGTGAATAAATCAACTTGATGCTGAATGGAACATCACATCAGAAATCAACCAAACATTACACTGAATATTCATCACATTCAACTGAAACAAAAGTAATGTTGAAGAGGAATATCAATGAGATGAGAGTGTAATTTTGTCTTTTCATCCCGTCATATCAGTATGAAAGTGGAGGAAGTGGATTGGTGAATAAATGTTATGATAACTAAGTTGATCATTTATACTGCCGTTATAGTCTGTAATAACATCGGAGATAGATTTTGAAGTCAGTTGCTCCACGTAACTTTGCCTTAATTAAAGTTCCAACAATATGGAAATATAAGATGAATTCTTTTGAAAATAATTTCGCTGATTTATCATCCATTCACGTATACTTTATGGTGGTAATAAGATTTTACTGAGATGGTCACAGAAAAACCATCTGATAGTTCGTGTATATAAGCTAACACGTGACTGAGATGGATAGTGTGCTGTTATGTGCTGTCTGTCTGACTGGACTGTGATGAACTGAACTGAATAATTGTAACATATCGTTGGGTGTATACCAGTGTGATATGCACTGGTGGACGGCATTTATTTTTTGTAGTCATGGTGCGAGTATACCGATAGTTGATGCAGTACCTCGAAATCTATTAGAACTTGATTTGATTCAAGAATGGAAACGGAAAGAATTCCTATTTTCCTAATTTCTATTCATTCAGTATCGTGCGTGTAAACGTTTCTACTTATGTTTATTTGTTGTACATATAATTGATATATACATTATTAAACACTGGTTAACATAATTCGTTCTTTGTAATCTACAAATCACGGCTTCTCAGTATGTGTGCACTTGTTCTCTTGTTATTGCTCACTGATTCGCATCAACCTGATCATGACGGAAAACAAGTTACATTCTGCATCCATTGGAAAACTGTAATATAATTTTGAATGTATGATATTTCTAAGTATATAATAGTTCATAATATAATAATAATTCCAACGTTTCAAGTTTTGCTGAAATAATAATTCAACAAACGATTGTTTTACATTTTGTTTCCCGCTAACAGTTCATTTCGATGAGGGTTCCATGAAAAATTGCCCTAGACTTCTATCTTCACTGTAACAACCGACTGTGTCAGCAAAATTGAGCCTACCGACAAAAGTTGATCAAGTTTAGAAGCATATTAATTAGATGGTTTTCAGTCAACTCAGCAGCAGTATGCACTCCAGCGGACAAGTACAAGTACACAGTATTTACAATCTGCTCATTCGTAGAATTACGAGGCTGTTGAATGTTGAATTATCGATTACACAACGCGGCGAAATGTGACAGAACATCACTTCGGTATCACTAATTCATATCTTCAGTTTGCAATCCCTCAACAATCAAATTGTCTGAAAGCAATATCTGCAACACGTACTGCAATCAACACATGTTCAGTGGAAATCATCATCGAATTCCGATGCCACATCTCATCGGAAATTTATAACATGTGAAACGAACACTAAAAATTGGAAGTTGAATCACAACTCATTCTCTCAATCACCATATGCATGGGGACGATCTCATGTTCACATGCAATCGTGTTGGTCGATTTCACTCTCCATTCATTCACGAGGACACCAATTTACTTCAACACGTCTCATTCGATCGACATCACTGAGAGAGAGGTGGTTGGTGAGGCTCTCAAATCGTATCACGATCCATGCATCGAACTAGACGAGTCAGCCAGCAGTCATCAACGTAAACTACACATGTTATCACTTGATATCGACTACAAACGACAGAACACGTCACTCCACACAAATGCTCGTCTCACACGTCATTCAGCCTTAATTACAATATAACAAAATCTGATTACAATTTCGTGGAATTATCAGACATTGTTGTATTTGTTCCAGAAGCATGAGTCACTCGTGAATCATAATCCCACAAACCGATAGTCATTTCCACTCACAGTGTAAAAACGCTGTGAGTAAACTTCAATCAAAATTTTCTCAATACCATCGTCTTGTGTAGACACCACCCTTTAGCCCTACTCATTCATAACTGATTACACGACTGATTATTATTCTGCACAAATATAATCCCACATTCATAAGACAAATTGACACTTATGAGTGGTTGGTTTAATCACCATGACTTATGTTGATTAACCTGATCTCATGGTGTGTATATATATGTAAAAGCCAACAAGTGATTGTTCGTAAGTCAGACAGACAGTGAAATTCTGGTCTCATCGAAATGTCTTCTAATTCCGAGTTTTCATCAGTCGTGTTGTTGATGTGTTCACTTGTCTGTTGCTGTGTTCATGCGCAGTTGGATGATGCGATGAGGAATGAGTTGTTAGCTCTTCACAATAAGGCAAGACAATCTGTTCAAAATGGTCAGCTTGTTGGGCAACCGATAGCAGTCTCCATAAAACCACTGGTAAGAAGAATGATTGTTTAACTTGAGTGTTCAGCACAATTATGTTTTGATTGAGACAAATTGATTTCAGTGTACGTTTCAGCTGGTCTCACTGTGAACATGGTGTGATGATGCGAGAGAGAGAGAGAGAGAGAGAGAAGGAGGGAGGGAGAAGTTGTTCGGTTGATTGGTTGGTTGTGGCTGACTGCAGGTAGCAGTTTCTTGGCCACTCAAATGAGGTTATTAGTGTAATGTGTTGTAGAGTAGATAGCTCACTGGTTGAAATCATTGTGTGATTGTAGACAGTGTTCTTAACTGTGCATTTGTTTGTTTTGAGTGAGTGTGCTTAGTGATGTGTATGTTGATGAGAATGGTGCGTATAGGCGAACGAACTTCGTTCACATGGTTCGCGTGAATTCATCAGAGATGAAGAATTTTTCGCAGTTTCTGACTAACTAGTGGAAAAACTAAAAATCTCCTAATTATATCACGTCGACGTGACGGCACTGATGACAACGAGTGACATTCGATACCACTTCATTCGCCTCATCGATTTTAAGTAAATAAAGCAATAATTACATTGTTAATTGATCAATTAACCGTTTGATTTGCTCACTAATTAACCACATGTTTACAGAAATGGAATGTGGAATTGGAAACGAAAGCACAAATTCTGTCTGATCAATGTCGTGTTGGACATGATACAAATGATGATCGTAAAATACCGGCATTCCAATATGTTGGACAGAATTGGGCCGGTGCCAAAGACATAAACACGTAAGTGTCATGTGCATTGTGTTAAATATATGAATTTGTTCAACTCGTAGACTTGCAAGCATGTGGTCTGCATTCGCGGAAGTGCTATATCGATCTAATCGACATACACCGTCATCACATGCACACCTACTTCTTTTCAGACTGTTGCTTTTTAACCAATCTGTGAACGCATACTCGATGCAAACCAACTACGAAACGTCACTCCAAATACCACAAAAATTTAGGAACACACATTTGTGAACCATGCCGCCTGTCACTCCACGCTCGACGATGTGGTTCGGAAGGTCTGTTTGTCAATGATAGATGAGTGAGGAAATATTGAGGACGATTGTGAGATGAACAGAAGTGATTAGTGTGAAACTCAACAAGTGGTTGCATCGGAGTCTTGAACTGATTGTAACGAGTGTAACCACAGACCGATGTCACTCAGTTCAACTCATCGAAAATTCACTTCAACTAAACACTGCAATGATGTGGTTAGTGTGTTGAGATAGGCTGGATCTCGCATCCACATGTTCACATGCTTGTCGAAGATGCACCCACATCTGTGTGCAATCGATAAACTGTTAATAGTCAAATATCTCATTTACCATATATTACTGAATCAGATATTCACAGTCAATGGGCATCAACACAGTCAATCAGTGTGTGGTTTCTTCGTGATATTCATCGACGTTCACACCTACACCTGTGCAGTGAGATCCTTCTTCTCCTCCTCAATTATACATGTGATAATACTCTTGTAATTGACTGTTCATTTTTCCAAATGTTCGGATTCATGTTTCGATTGATTGCTATTGTTTGTTCATTTCTATCAAGCGGATTTCAATTATGGTTGGATGAATACAAGAATTACGACTTCTACACGAGAACATGTCGTATGGGTCAGTGTGGTCATTATACTCAGGTAAGCATTAGAACGATTACAAAGCATTCTTGTTAAAATAACTACTTCAGACAAAGTCGTATAGACACTGACTAGTGATATTGTGGTCGATTCATGAAACCGTCTAACATGGCTACATGTAGTATCCAACTATCCGTTGTCACATACACACAAATTGGAAATGTTCCAGTCCTCGTTAGCACGCTTCTTGTCTGTGTTAGATTGGTCTACACTCTCCCCAACGAATCACGTCTTCCACATCGTTGTGATCTTTGACTGTTGTTGATTTAAGTGAACAATTTATCTGAATGTGTCCTCTTCCAATACCCTATTCAATAGCTCACTGTCACTTGGTTCATTTCAGCTTGTCTGGGAAGACACTACGGATGTTGGATGTGGTGTCACGAACTGTCCGAATTTCCCATACGGACTCAGCATCGTGTGTAACTATGGTCCTGGGTAAGTCATTAATAAGATCATTTTCATTTACTTAAATGATTTGTGACATGCTCTTCCATTATGACTCCGTCCTGCACACTTTCTTCATGACCGGATGTTGTTTGTAGTGGAGTTCAATTCGGCTGTTGTTTAGTAATATTACTGATACGTTCTATTTTCTATTCATCAGCTCAAACTCTTGTTACTACCTAAATAAACACTTGCTATTCTGAAAATTATTGCCTGGCATTTTTAACTCCGTGACAACTAATGCCTACTTTTGTGACGATCAATATAGATCACTGTTGAATGTTTAATTCAACGTAAATCACATTTCATCTGCTTTAGTTACGTTTACTATGTAACCGAATATTAACGGAATCGACAATGAATCAGTGATCAAAACAAACACTTTTGAATATGAATTTCACTATATTTTACAAACACTTGAATTCGCATGAATATCAGAATGGATGTTTCATTACTAGTATTAAACAGACTTTGACATGATGAATATCTCTTTTCAAATTTCTACGTGTAATCTAACTACTGATATCCACAAGTAGTTTCATGAATATCATCAACAATGGTTGATTTCCATTGTAACGAGTGTGGATACGTGTCGATGTTCCAACTTCAATGATAATAATAAATGAACATGAGAAAATCACTGATGAACTTTGTCTCATCGTCTTAATGAACTTACTAACGTCTCATTTTCCTTACCTGATTTCAGCGGCAATTACGTTGGACGCTCACCGTACAGAACAGCATGAGGAATAGTTGGCTTCCGAAATCAATCGTTTTTGCAACTGTCTTTTTTACATTTCACATACCATATCATATCACTACTGTACACCGGTGAAAATCGCCTAATTTGTATATTTGTATTGAAGTGAAATTATCTTTTCGAAATAATAATCCATCAAATGTCAGGCTAAGTCTTGATGTCTTTTGATTTCCGCGTTTTATTCCTGTGTGACCGGAGTGTCCGTTGAGGAATGGGATATTGCAATAATTAATTCGTTGCCAGTCGTGTGTCAGCTTACTACCGAAATCCGTTTCTGTCTACAAACTAGTCAGTAGCATGACATGCTTTCACACACAGAAGCTTTACTCCTGCATACTGCAATTCTAGAGTATGATAACTTCTCTATCACTACAAAACGATGAATTTACAAAATACGCGTAACTCAAATAAATTTAGTTTGCTTCCAAATTTTCATTTGTTTGAAGGAAAGAAGATCAATGTCATGTGTGTCAGATCCCACTCACTGATCAATCAATTGTAAATACATCTCAGTGCTACAGGACGTCAGTCGTGGTCCGGATAACTCAGTGTTAAAGTCTCCTACTGTGATACTGGGTGATACAGGATCGAGTCTGTCAGGGAGCATCAATTCCCATAAGATGACAGTTACACTTTACTGACGAGTGCCAAGTAGCACGAAACCTAGATCCAAGGTTTCCCGTAGACTAATTAGAATCATCATCTCATCTCAAATATTACATGTGTTGTCAAGTCACTTAAACTAGTGATCACAATGTTACTTGGTCGATAGAATTCGATCTGAATTTAGAAGTACATGACACATATAACATTGATCACCACCTGGTGATCAATCCATTGTAGATACATAGAGTATTTGCTAGCTATCAGTATTTGAATATATCCGAGGTATGTTTCAGCACTACTTATTATATCGAAAACAGTAGTGCAAAAACATGCAACCAGAGGTCAAATTTCAAGTCACAATTTATTTCGAAAATAATCAATGAATATCGTCTATATATATATTTTTTTACACAAAAAGCATTTCGATTTTTCCCCTCAAGGTCATATGCACTCAACTACTCATTTAGTTTTTCACCAATAGAAAAACAAACAACACAGACAACCATTAATTTTTTTTCTTTTTTTAAAAGAACATCGTTGACAACTGTTTTGCATAAATTTTGCATAGTATATATATATATATATATATATATATTTCAATGGAGGTTAAATACCCATAGAAACTGTTGTGAAAATAAAGAAAAGAAAAAAGAGAAAAAAGAAGTGAAACTAAACAAATCATAATTTCCATGAACTCTGGCTAAACATTTTCAAAATTTGAATTTTATTAAACAATTTTCAATATTCTATAAATTTATGATAGGAAAGGGAGGAAATAAAAAGAAAAAGAAAAAGAAAGAAAAGTAAAAAGAAAGAAAAAACTATAAGAAATTTAATTCTTTTGATTTTGTTACATATTGTTTCTCAAAAAAAAGAAAAAAAGAAAAAAGAAACAAAACATACACACATACCATGTCAATTTTTCGATTATTATGTTTTTTAATTACAATTATACTGGCAATTTGTACATTAGGGGTTGGTTTAATTTTATCACCATATTGGAAAGGTAAGTTATGAAATATTCTTTTTTGTTTATTTCCTTTTTTCAAAATATTTTTCGCATGAATTCTGTAATTAAAGTAAAGAATTACAGTTGATTTATTAATGATTATTTATTTATATTTCACATGTTATTATGTGTAATGTGTTAAGTGCCAAGTAGCACGAAACCTAGATCCAAGGTTTCCTGTAGACTAACTCGAATCACCATCTCATCTCAATATAGTACACGTAATGTCGAGTCAGTTAGACTAGTGACCACAATACAACTTGGTTAACAGAATTCGATCTGAACTTAGAAGGACATGACACGTATGACCTTGCTCACCACCCAGTGATCAATCCATTATGGATACATAGAGTATATGCTATGAAATTTTTTTTGAATATTTTTGGCATGAATTCTGTAGGTAAAGCAAAGAATTACAGTTGATTTATTAATGATTCGTTATTCATAGTTTACATGTTATTATGTGTAATGTGTTAAGTTTTAAAAAAATTCAGTGGATTATAGAGTTGAGATAAATAAATGTTTAATGTAGATATAATATACTTAGTATAGTTTTAGTTAGCCTGAATGTTTCTTATTAGAATGGGAATTTGTAGAGATTGTAATAATTTTAATAGTTGAATTCATGAGTTAATCTAAGCTAAGTTACCACTGAAAATCTGAAAGCCGTTTCGACCTAGTATAGGATTCCTCAGCAGTGCGTATCCATGATTCCGCACGCGGAACTCGAACACATGACCTGTGGTCTCACACGCGAACGCTTAGCCTTTAGACCACTGATCTGGGATATAATGGTGTGAATATCTAACTTCAGTCGATCCATAATCTTGTGTTAGTCTTCATTAATTATCTGAAGGGGATGATTGTTTCCACCCGACACAGATTGGACTTATTAGAATTCCCGGAAATCCACTAGTCACTGGTTGGCGTATGATAACTATTATTAGAATATAGGTTTGTGGAGATTGCAGTGATTTTAATGGTTGAGTTTAATGAGTCTATTTAAGTTAGATTACTCAAAAGGCCATATTACATTTAGTTCATTATGTTAATTTATTGTGATACTTTTTTGTCATCAACTTCAAAAAGACTATATTCTAGAACTTTATTGAAGCTTATGTGATCAGGCTGTTTATTATAAGAAAAGTTGTAGTATCCCATTTGACCAACGATTTACTCATCTATATTACCTGTAGGATTGATGACTTATTTTTCCAATGTCAGCAATCAATGAACGATAATTGAGACCTTAACGTTTGTTGGTTCTCGAGCGACTCTCAATCCATCATTCAATAAAAAGACCGAGTCAATGAACTGTTACTTTCTCAATTGTGTAGCAATATCATGAGTCTCAAACTCATATAGTAATATAAGGTAATTTTGGCACCATATAAATAAGAAATTACATTGTGTTCATATTTACGTCATAAGTGAAAGGGAACTAAACAACAGATAGATAATGAATTTATAATAATACAAGAACGGTTGAACATTCAACAATCATTTATATACCAAATGAGAAATTAAAATACAAGAATATGAGAATAAAATAACCTGAATATCTAGTAATTATTTCCAAAATTTACCACCTTTTCAATATTCACCCGATTATAATGTTTCTGTCGTAATATCACTTGATTAATTAATTGAACTATTGAGATTCGAACAATATTTCCTTTGTAAAGTCAGTCGCTCAGTAAAAACGTAGAAATTCGTACGTACATACATCAGTTCGAGTTGCCATACCACATTAGCACAGAGATGCAGTTACCGATTCCAATCTCGTAGTGGTAGAGGTAATAAGAGTATAAGCAGTAATCGGAAAGATTAGGATTTGAAGATGTTATTCAAGGAGTATAGTCCAGTGAAATAGACTTAGAAAGAGAAAAAGGGACATGAAGAATTCAGAAGATCAGAATTTCGGGGAACATAAAGAGTGGATGCACCTGCGCCATTGCAAACGATTTTGAGCCATGTCATTCAAGGTCTCTAACCATCGGTTGTCATCATCTCGCGGTCCTCAACCAGTTAGTCTACACCTACCAACATGGCTCAGTCCACTTGTCAGTGACTTCATGGACTGGTGCCATGTTCCTTTGTAAAGACTGAAGATATGATACAGTTGATCAGACTAAATTTAAATGAGTAATTGATTAAGTAGAATTCCAAAGTTTTGAACTACCTTGGTCACATATTCAATTTCTAAAACTGATCAACTTCTTTACCTAAGACAATCTATCTATTCAATTAACAAATACCATTATTAGATCTAATACAATTTACTGATGATTATTAACATGTACAAAATTATAGTTCGTGGATGCGCACTGCTGAGGAGCCCCATACTGGAACGAAACTGGTGTTCAGTGCTTCCAGGTTTTCCATGGTGGTGATCTAGCTTCGATTGACTCATGATTTCAACTAGTGAAATATATTTTTAGTTTGTTGCCAACAATCTACAACATTACAAACTAGAATGTTAAATAATAAATTATATTGAAAATTCAATTTGACAATCCGTGTCGGGTAGAAACAGGTGTCTGCCTCAGTACAATGGAAGATGGTCGCGCAATTTCGTGGATTGGTTGGGGTTAGACATTAACACCATTGGATGTCGGCTCAGTGGTCTAGTAGGTTAAGCGTTCGTGCGCGAGGCTGAAAGCCCTGGGTTAGGATCCCACGGGGTTGGATCGTGGATGCGCACTGCTGAAGAGTCCCACAATAGGACGAAACGGCCATCCAGTGCTTTCAGGCTTTCAGTGGTGGTCTAACACTAATCGGTTCATGATCTCAATCAAAAACGTAACAATCTCCACAACCCCTAAAACTGATAATTATATTTTATCTGTTTCTATAATTTATAGATAATGAAGAACCACCAAGAGAAGCTAAAATTCATTTATCATTAAGTTTAATATCGATACTTTTTCTTGGTGCATCAGGTCTTTTAATTCTTGTCTCTATTGTATCTGGACCAGGTAGAACAAAGAAAATAATTATTATTACAATGATATTACTTATTTTAACTAGTAAGTTTAAAGTATATTTTTTTTAGTTTTAACTATTTTTCACTATCATTAGAATGTTTATTAAGTTGAAATGAAACAATGAAAAGGCCTATTACTTCATTGTTTTATTATAATATTTAACATGATCTGGCCCTCCTATCGCAAACGCAACAACAAATGAAGGAGAAGATGACTAGTGTAGCAGCAGCCTTAGAAGCAGTAGATCTCAATACACATAAATGGACAAGGAAGATTCTCCGATACAACACAGCATGCACCAATCCAATCATAATTGGCGGAGAAGATTTGGGAGATGTGAAAACCTTTACATATGTGGACAGCATCAGTGATGAACACGGTGGATCTGATGCAGATGTGAAGGCATGGATCGACAAAGTAAGATCAGAATGTTTAGAACTTAAGAATATCTGGAATTCAAAACGACTGTCAACGAACACCAAAGTCAGGATTTTCAATACAAGTGTCAAGACAGTTCTACTGTATGGGGCGGAAACTTGGAGAACTACGAAAGTCATCATCCAGACGATACAAGTATTTATTAACAGTTGTCTACGCAAAACACTTCGGATCCGTTGGCCAGACACCATCAGCAACAACCTATTGTGGGAGAAAACAAACTAGATCCCAATGGAGGAAGAAATCAGGAAGAAGCGATGGAAGTGGATAAGACACACACTGAGGAAATCACCCAACTACACCACAAGGCAAGCCCTGTGGATAGGACCCACATTGAGGAAAGCACACAATTGAGTCACAAGACAAGCCCTCACATAGAATCTTCAAGGCCAAAGGAGAAGAGGAAGATCAAAGAACACATTACGTCGAGAAATGAAGACAGATATGAGAGGAATGAATAACAATTGGATAGAACTAGAAAGGAAGTCCCAGGACAGAGTGGGTTAGTGAATGCTGGTTGGCAGCCTATATTCCATTGAGAATAACAGGCGTAAGTAAGTAAATACTACGTAGTTTATAGAGAGTCTTTTGTTATAAACTGCCATCGTCCAGTAAACACTGAAAACTAAGAAAACATTAGATAGCTCACTAGAGCCTAATATCATAATGGGTTTCTGAAAGTTCTAATGGAAATTTGTGATCTGTAGAGTCTATTTGGTCAGTTTAAATGTGTGTTTTTCATTACAAAATACATCGCATGAGAATAGAACAGCATTGTAAATATGCACCATTTAATTTTGACTTATTGTCTGAAATATTTTATGCTCAAAATAAAACCTGAACAAACTATTGCTCAATCCCATATGTGATTTCACTTTCACATAGGTGAAAAGTTTAAAACAAGGAAGAAAAAACACACACAACCATCTGATATTGGTTTAACAATTATTATTATTATTATTATTATTATTATTATTATCAGCTTTATTCAATATTATATTTTTGGTACAATATAGAATTCTCAGCGTAAAGTATTTCAACAAGTTTCCGTTTCTTTCTTCTTGGTGGGTCCTGGCGATAAATATTGAGTGATCGCCAGCAACCACATTGGCTCTTATTGAGTTTTTTGTAACTTTGACAACGAAAGGCTGTACACTTTTCAGAAACGCAGCAGAATACATCATGTGATTAATAAACATATTGATATATTGAAACAAATAAAAATAGATAACTTGTTGAAATATCTGGATGGCAGGAACAGGTAGCCCAGATGCTTAAGCAGGCTGCCTTAATTGATAACTAACTTCAAATTATTCCTGTTTATATAAAATATTTAGTTAATGATATTAAAGTATGTACTACAGAAAACTTGATCTACAAAATTGTTAGGGATGTTAGATCATCAGAATTCACTTGATAAATACCCTATTTTTGTAATTTTATTTTAAAATTTTAAAATTTCTTCTTTTCTCGTCAAAAACGCTCATATTCACTTTCATGTCGTATTCCCCATTTAGGAGAATCTTAAACACTATTGGTTCGTTGTATCTTTTAGTATGCTATTTTGTAACGCTTCCCAAGGACAATTTTATGCTATATATATATACGTTTGATTTGTGCCTGTTATTGCTCGTGCTTCTGGCTGCTTGTAGAATATATGTCCCCGTTCGAACTTGGACATCTCTCCATAGTTAGCAGGGTTGAGATACATCAGAATAGCTAGCTTATTGGTCTTTGGTCACAGAGAGTCTTGTTCGGTTCATAGACTAGGTGAACACTGAAATAAATTAGACAAAGAATATATTGAGATGATGGTGAATATTTGTATCTCATGTAAATGATTTTGATAGAGTTTTGTTCTCTGAGCTAGATAGTTTGATAGAAATTTGTATTGATGATGTCGTTCAGAAGAACAACGAAAGCTCCATGATCAAATCATCCAAATTTTAGAGAACAAAACTCTATCAAAGATGATAGTGATCATTATTCAATGAAATCATTCAATGGTACAGAGATTCAATAGTATTTACATAGTTTGATTGAAGTTAAGAGAGAGTATTCTTAATCGATTTGTTTCTTTAAAATAAACCATTATTAATATTATTGATATTATTTATAAAAAATAAGAATTCTCATTTACATTTATTTTAAGAAAGAGACCAAAACAAGTAGATCATTTTAAGTGAGAACACAAATATACATACATACTCACATGGATGTATGGACATCTTGATCGCACTATACGGATATCTATTGTTTGTGCAAATGAGATGAATAGGTCTTCCGCAATGCATGCATACACTCATTTGCATTTTATTGTATTTCAATGGATATGAATTTACATGTTCAATTTTATATTCATTATTGTTGTTGATTTACTGATGAAAGTAACTCTACATAAATGTTATAAGCAATAATTTAGGAATGGAACATTTATTGAGGTCATTTACAATATGAAAATAATACATTCATAACATGTAATACTGTTTAAAATTATAGAATTTCTAAATGTCATTGTTATGTTCTTTGGTCTGTCTGCCGACTTTTGACGCTGAAGATACTTATCATCTAATCCACATTAAGACCTTGGTGCGATAGGCTGACCGACTTAACCTTGAGGCTAGTACGCGTGAGTTCGAAGTGGGGTAGAGAGAAGAAAACTAGTCTATCACCTGACTGGCTGACAAGCACGCGAATAAGAGAAGATAAGACAACTGCAACACTACTCGATCTATTTCCGATATCCTTATTTCAGTTCAGTTCAGATTAGTGTGAAAAGGTACATGAATAAATAAGTGAACAACCCGACCACAACTTACAATAATTAGGAAAAATACAATTATGTCCAAAGCTGGGAATTAGAGTAGAAAAATAGGGTGCAAAATATTATGTTTAAATTACAATAGCTTCGGAACAGAAAAGAGTATGGTAATGAATCATATATCGAACGAAAGCTTATGTTCTGTAGAATAGATTAGGGACAAAAATAAATGTTAGTGTTTTACAAGCTTTGAATAAAATGGAATAACGTCCCGAAAAATAGCTTTCGTAGTTTGTCAGGGCTTCATGTTTTCCTGTTCATATCAGTCATCTTGTAGATTTATCCGAATATCTACACTAAAATGAACTGATCATAATTAAAATGATTAAAAGATGAATAAATTTTTTTGATTGAAATTATGAATCGATTAATGTTAGACCATTATTGAAAATCTAAAAGTACTAGACAGTCGTTTCATCCTATTGTGGGTCTACTCAGTAGTGCGTATTGACGATTACGATACAATGATTGAATGCAGTAATACAAATTACGATCAGTTTTGAAACATATCATCCAATGTCTCCAACCAGTAGTTTACTATATTATTAACCATAATTATGAATCTATGGCTGTTTTCCGTTCTATTATAGTCTTATCTACTTATTCGTGATTTCTACTTTCTTTTCTTTTCTTTTTTTTGCTGCTTCTCCATCATTTTAGTTGGCTTTCTCTGTGCATCAATTGTATACATGTTTACTCAAGTGAATCATTCTTTTGCATTTTGGATATTTGCATCATTATGGATAAGTGTTACATGTATACCATTTGGTTTATGTATTCTTTATACAAAACCAATTCAAATGGATCGTCTTTAATTGATTAATTCTATAATGTTTATTGATTATCAATGATAATAATGATATGTTCATATGGAAGTTTTAATTTCATAGTAAATCAAAGCCAAGAAAAGATTACTACTATTATTACTAGATATGTTAAATATGTTTATCTATTTCTTGTATAAAATCAATGAAATATCAATAAATAATTATAAATAAATGGTTTTAATTAATATATAAATCGAATAATTTCATTATTTGTGTTTTGCCACGTGTATATAACCACTGTCAGGAAAGTCCTACTCAATGCCTTCTCGCGGTGAGAGAGTTTTTTTTAACGAAGTCGTAAGAATGAAAAGAGAATTTTCGGCGCCTTAACCGGATTGGTGGACACGGAGGGTCCACCTATAAGAGTTGGAAAACTCTGCTTCCAAACCGATGGTACACATTGACTACAGGATCGTGAGTGAGCAAATGGAGTATGAACCAATTATTAGTCATCAGCTACTATAGGACTGCATCTCCTGATGTTGCTCCACTGCCTTATGTATCAGACTTTTAGGTCGAAGGCTCCGCGTGTGGCCCTCTAAAAAAAAACACCTGCTTCGGTTTGGGCACCGGAACAGTATCACAGCCCACACACACAAATCAAGTGACTTGTTTGGCGCATTTGTAGTCGTTGCCCCTTTTACCAATATTTATGAGTTCAAATAAATAAATAAATAAAATGATGAACATTTAGGACGGAAATTCGATGTAATATTAATCTTGTAAGACATATTTTAAAAGTTTTGATAATATCCTCATTATGTTCACCGTGTTTAAAACAAAGATATTCAAAAGTGTGATCACTAGACAATGGATGATGAATATAACATGGAAATAATTAAAATGTAGTGAACGCCATTATGCAGAAACTATTGCTATGAGGGGCTTTCTACCTGACCTTCATAAACAAAAGTTAAGCGTGCGAAATTTCTCATTAACATTAGTAAAATAAACATAGTGATCCAATATTTGTGTAATACATCATCTCCATAATTAATATTTTAAACAATCTACAGATATTCACTCATGACTTTTAGATGGTGGTTGGAGGTAGTCGACAGGAAACCCTGGACGCGGGTTTCGTGCTACTTGGCACTCATCAGCAAGGTGTACCTGTCATCTTGAGGGAGTTGATGCTTCCTGACAGACTCGATCCCGTATCAGCCAGTTTTAGTACGTGAGTGCTAGACAATCTTATTTGCTACATCAAATAAATTGTGCCTTTTTCGTATTTCTGAGGCTTTGTATATCTATCGTCTCAAAGTTAACTTAATTGGCAAAGGTATATAAAGCTGTCATTCCAGATTTGTTCCTTTGCTGTCCTTTCAATAGTTAGTCATGAAGCTAAATGTTTTGCTTTTGAAATCATAGTATTTGAAAAAGGTAAATAAATACATTTTACTGTATCCTTAGTAAACTGGATAAGTCAACCATTAATTAGAATTAAGTTGAAAGAAGTAGTGATTTCATTGTAATCTGTAAATAATCTATGTAAATTCTCAATTACATTGAGCTTAAAATATCTGAAATGACAACTAATTAGTTTAGTAATATGTTAGTTTATGGTTCGAATCAAGACCCGTTTTATCGCTAATGCAGACTCATATAGACTCGGGTCATTTGGGCTTCTGTAGAGTAACACATATAAGCGAACAATTGTTTTCAATTAGATCGTCATCTGGCTTTACTCTAATATACATGAATATTTATACGAAAATTTTAAACCAATCAAGGCAATATGAGTCAATAATCATAAAATAGGTAAAAGTACAAGTTGATAGTACGAAGACAGGTGAACAGATAGTGGTAAGAATAATAAACTACAATAACAAAACTCTTATCAATAGTTAAGCGTTGGAAATAGAAGGTCGAATAAACATGGGTAAATAGACTAGGAATAGTATTCACAAAACCTTAAGAATCATTACGTAATAAGATGTGTGTAAATAATTAGATAGTGAAGAATACAAAGAGGCAGATAATGACAAACAAATAATGGATGTGGAAATAAGGTTAACAATAACACAGATAGAATAAAATAAATAATGATAATAATAAAATTTATAAAAAAAAATATATATATATAAAAAAATTGTTAGTTAAGTTATAACTGGCCATGGAAGGGATAGGGGAGTCACGTATTTCTTCTGTACACATAGATTGGGGTTATATGTACGAATTCCAATGGCTTCCGCTATATATAGGAGACGGGAACGGACTCCGTCGGGAAATGATGGAGGTATACGATAGATAACTCGAAATGATTTCGATTTCTCTACTGCAGTTTATTATTCTTACCACTATCTGTTCACCTGTCTTCGTACTATCAACTTGTACTTTTACCTATTTTATGTGTAGTGACTTATTCTATTTCACTGTGATTATTGACTCATATTGCCTTGATTGGTTTAAAATTTTCGTATAAATATTCATGTATATTAGAGTAAAGCCTGATGACGATCTAATTGAAAACAATTGTTCGCTAATATGTGTTGTTCTAATTTTCACAATGGGAATCTTTAATATTCTGTAGAGTATTCAGTATGAGCAGATTCAGTCTATGCCAAAGAACTAAATTGATGTGAATGAAATCGAGAAGAAAAGACTTGTCCCCTTATTTCTAGTATCTATGAAAATAAGTCAGTCTAATTTTGTTGAATTAAAAATGAACTGATTAAATAATTTTTTAGGTGTTTGAACCGTTTCAGATTTTTACGATAACATTAGTATGTACTTACATGATATAAGTAGCATAAAAATTACCACAAAAATAGCGATTCGTAACATTTTTTGGGGGTTGTTGAATTCACGAGTCGATGTAAGCTATACTACCACTGAGAAATCTGGAAGTACTGGACGGTCGTTTCATCCTAGTACGGAATTCCTCGGCAGTGCTCACACATAGTCACGCGCGAGGAACTCGAACCCACGACCTTTAGTTTCGTGAGCGAACGCTTAAACTCTAGACCACTGATCCGGTATCCAACGCTGTTAATGTCTAACTTCAATCGATCCATGATCTTGAACAACCCTTCAATTCAGTACTTCCAGGTCTTCAATGGTGGTTTAGCTTAGATCGATTCATGAATTCAATTACTGAAATAACTGCAACCTCCACAAATCCCTATTCTTATAATTTTAGATTGATTTAGTACAAGTATTTAACACGCGCAAGATATCCTGGTTTACAAAACAGTCATCATTCTACTACTACATGATAAACGCTTGTCTCAATTGATTTTATAACGAAATGAATGGCAATTATTTTAAAAAATCCTAAATAACACAAATAAATGATAAAACTAAGTTTAGTTATTACATTAGTTTCATGATATTGATATTATTTAATGCTAAATGTTGTATATTGTTTAATGTAAAAAGAGTCTATACAGGGGAAATTATAACTACTCCAGATTTTGATCCGTTCTGCTGCATGGTCTCAAAAATTCTATTGGTTTATGTACTTGTTTGGGATATTCAAATAACTCCTCGAAAAAAGCCAAGAAAGGCTCTGAAAACACTGAGAAGCATCTTATACAATCAGCATTCACTAGAAATTTTGCCAGAAACATCAAAAACGTGAAAAATCTCATGTAGGGTTTCTGATTGGATGATTACTTATACTGTTACTATGTTTAGTAGTATTCCAGAATTTTTGGTAAACCCAAGGACATCTAAAATACTATAAAAACCCTATATTTTCTGTATATAAACGAACTTTGGAGTAGTGTTTCCTACATATTTAGCGCCTTTTCTCTCGTGTTCAAGTCGCTGTGTAGATCTAGCCTGGGGGTTACAAGGAGAGCCTAGGAACCAAATCTAACGTTCAGCTAGCAAGACTTATCAGTACTCTGCTGTTGGACCAGTCAACACGGACTATTTCATAACTTCCTCATATCCATTTTGTTTAGATCCTAGATCAACGGTCTAGACGTTAAGAGTTAATGCGCATATCCGAAGGTCATGGATTAGATCTTAGAGTGGGAACACACCGCTGAGGAGCGCCGTACTACGTGAAGATAGCAGACCAGTGCTCCCAAATTTTTGACGGTAGTCTGACATTGGTCGGTTCATGATCTCAATGTATTTCCGCTTTATTTAAATATAAATATATGAAGCATTATCTTCTTTAAACACTAATATTTCGTAGTCTTAGATCTGGCTTTGCTTTCTGATATTCCGTCTCTCCATGAGATATTATGTCTTAGAGATAGCAAACGTACTCGGTTTCATAATTAAAAGGTTTTTGACTCAATCGAGACGTTTAAAAACTACTAAATCATGCACAAAATTTAGAATAAAAAACAAAGAATTTATCTAAAGGGAAGTATTACTATTACCAGAATAAACTCAAAATAATTCCAGACATTAGTTTGTGAAGTGTTTAAGATGTCTAGCGAGTAAGTTTATTTGGGGGGAAATATTAATTCCTGAAATGATAATACAATGATCATTTGTAGTATACAATTGTTATACCCCGATGAGAATAATGAGTGGTAACTTTGGGGACCCATTTATGGACCAGTATTATGCGTATATTTTTATCGTATAATTGTTAAATAACTAAACTATTCATATTCGTGTTCCTCTTATCATAAGCTTTATTTTGACCTACCATTCTTGAGTTATGCCCTGTCTATCGATTACTACCTCCGACATTCACAGCCACATTTGGCTAAATCTTGTACAAATGTTGTTTCGTATTTTATGGTACGATGTTTCTGTCTGGTTGGTATATGAACTGAGTATGTTTGAAATAAATGATTCATGTCGCAGAGCCTGAGATTGGTGTTCTGAACTTAACAGGCTGTGATAAGTGGGAAGCAGGACCGATAAGGACTCTAGGCTGCTCGTACGTGTCTTATGCGTCATTGGTCCGATCGATAGATTACTGTTCTCTAATTGGCGGTATCATTACGTGATACATTAACAGGGCACACAGACCACAAGTTATAACAACAATTGTGAAATAACAGCTAGCAACTATGTCTAAAGTTAACAGTAACTGTCATCAATCAAAATGGAGAGTAAGAACACAAAATGCGGATACTGTCACACTTAAGAAAAGTACAAATCAGTGGAAAAC